ACAATTCCATACCACCCCATCTCTCCATCTCCCTTTGTAGGTCTGGCCATGCTCCCTTCAAGTTATGAGTATGCATATTAGGTAAATGTTTGCATAAATTAATACCCAAATATTTCAGGTAATCCTTCCTCCAGTCGAACGGATATATTGCTTTCAATTCATCCATGTCAGACTTTTGCAAATGAAAAGGCAGGGCCTGGGTCTTAGATATATTTAATTTGTAATATGACACTTCTCCAAACTGGAGTAGAACTGTATTGAGAAATTCCAGAGGTTCTTTTGGATTTTTAAGTGCTAGGATGACATCATCTGCAAATAGCCCTATTTTGTGGATGGATCCCTTGATTGAAATACCTGCTATTTCTGGGGTTGTCCTGATCAATTCGGCCAGGGGTTCCATCACCAGAACAAAGAGAATCGGAGATAAGGGGCAACCTTGACGCGTCCCATTAGTTAAGGAAAACGTTCTTGATTGGAAACCCGAGGCCGATACGTGAGCTGTGGGTGCGCAGTATAGTGCCTTAATCGCAGTGATGAAAGATTGTGGGATATCGAATCAACTCAATGTCTCCCATAGGTAACCCCAATGTACCCTGTCGAACGCCTTCTCTGCATCCAATGAAAGGAGCAGAGACTGAGTTTTTGTCGAATTAATATGCTGGATCAAGTTTATGAACCACCTGGTTCCGTCAGGTGCCTGTCTTCCCTGGACGAATCCAACCTGGTCATTCTTGATCAATAGGGGTATTAAACTAGTTAAACGGTTCGCTAATATCTTAGCATACAATTTTATGTTGTTGTTTATAAGGGATATGGGCCTGAAATTAGAGCATTTATCAGGGGTTTTACCTGGTTTTGGCAAGGTGACAATCTGTGCGGACAAAGATTCTCCTGGCATCTGCCCCCCGGACTTATAGTAGTTAAATAATTTGGACATGTGGGGGATTAAAATTTCTGCAAAGGTCTTATAGTATAAAATCGTAAATCCATCAGGTCCAGGAGCCTTTCCTGACATGGGCGTCCGCAGGAATTTTTCCAGGGGGGGGGCATAATTGTAATGACATCCATGCTTGGTACCTTTTTGACATTGTCATGAAAAGGAAGGGGCATAGCCATTATCACATAAAGCCAGGGTGAATAGCGTTTTCACAACTATGGTGTCAGGAATATATGTTTGTATTCCTGACACTATAGTGTTCCTTTAAGCAAATTAAAGGACATTTCTGGTCACCATAACAACTTCACCTAAATTAAAATGCTATGATGCCAGGAAGCCCCTGGGTGCTCGCTTTCCTTTAAGGGGTTAAACCACTCTCAAATGGTTTAACCCCAAAGGCTTCCTCCAGCTCCAGGTCGCTCAGTGGTATTTGGCTTCTGAAACAGAGTGTCAGGAAGTGCAGATTGACGTCAGGCATGGGTGCCGCTGATTGGCTAGAGTGGTCAGTTGATGCTCTAAGCCAATCGCTTGTTCCCGGTTCATAAAATATTTTTACTTTTTTATGAATGGGGAGCTACTGATTGGCTTAGAGTGCCAGCTGACCGCTCTAGCCAATCAGCAACACCCCTACCCAACGGCACTCTGTGCTTCCTGACACTCAGTAAATAAAAGTGAACACATTAACACCGATATTTTTTTACCTTTGGAGATGAGAAGGTCCAGCGTTTCCCTGCCAGGCCCAGGTACCAAAGCCTTATGATGTGGTGTCCAGAATAAAGTGGAGGGTTCACTTCATTTGTCCTTCCTGCTCCAATCTCCTTTTCCTCTCCTTCATTTGACAGTCTTTTTTTTTCTTCTGACACGGTTTTCTATCCTTGGCCCCTTCTGCTCTTTTACCTTTCTGCTACTTTCTGCTTATTTTGCGCCCTTCTGCTCCTTTCTCATTCTGATCCCTTTCTGCTCCTTGCAAACCCTTTCTGCTCCCTTTTCTACTTTACCTTTGTGCTCCTTGCTGTCCCTTTCTGCTCTTTCTCCTACTTTACCTTTGTGCTCCTTCTAATTCTTTCTGCTCCTTTATCTTTGTGCTCCTTGCTGTCCCTTTGTGCTCCTTCCTGCTCCTTGCAGGCCCTTCCTGCTCATTTCTGACCCTTTCTGCTCCTTCTACTTTACCTTTGTGCTGCTTTACCTTCCAGCTCCTTGCTGACCCTTCCTGTTCATTTCTATATATCTATGGGCTGCTGCCCCCCCAAATCTATAGGCTGCTGCCCCCCTCCCCAAATCTATGGGCTGCTGCCCCCTGCCCCAATCTAAGGCTGCTGCCCCCAAATCTATAGGCTGCTGCCCCCCCAAATCTATGGGCTGCTGCCCCCAAATCTAAAGGCTGCTGCTGCCCTCAAATCTAAAGGCTGCTGCTGCCCTCAAATCTAAAGGCTGCTGCTGCCCTCAAATCTATAGGCTGCTGCCCCTCCCCAAATCTATGGGCTGCTGCCCCCCAAATCTAAAGGCTGCTGCTCCCCCCAAATCTATGGGCTGCTGCCCCTAAATCTATGGGCTGCTGCCCCCCTCTATAGGCTCAAACCCTCCCCCCATCCCTCACTTACCTGATCTGTAGGCTGTCTCTGGCTGCATGTGTTGTTCCCCTGCGGTTTCAATCAGCAGAGAGAAGCAGGGATAAGATGCAGCTTCCTATCCCTGTCTCTCTCCATACACAGCCCACCTACTGGCCGGCGCCGGTATTGCAGTTCATTTTAAATCTCACACAAAATAGCAGAACAAGCTGAAAAATCCAGGGGGGGGCAAGTGCCCCCCCTTGCCCCCCCCTGCGGACGCCCATGTTTCCTGACGGCATACACTTAATTGCCTCGGCTATCTCTGCTTCAAATATATCGCACTCTAGTTTTTCCAAGTTATCAGAGGACAGCCAAAGCAACGAAACCCTGTCTAAAAAATTATTAATAGACGCCTCAGATGGCTGGGTGAGGTTCAGGTCAGATTTCAAATTGTAAAGCTATAATATTTTGCGAATTGATCACTAATCTTATTCGGGTGGAATATTTTTTGTCCTTTGTCATCTATTAAGTGTGAAATTTTTGATTGTGCATTTACGTGCCGGAGTTTGGACGCCAGGAGAGTTGAGGCCTTATTACCTTTTAAATAAAACAATTTCCTGAGGCGTCTCACCATGAGACTAGTTCTATCTATATTTATTTTATGAATTTTTGATTTGATCTCCCCTATCATTGCTGATAGGGAAGAAGATGGACCGAGTTTATTAGCCTGATTTAAGTTATACAGTTCTTTTTCCAAGTTTCTTAAATTGTTGTTATTATTCTTCTTCAAGTGAGACGCCCTAGAAATGAAATGACCCCTCAACACAGCCTTGTGCGCATTCCATGTCACCTCGCCAGGAACCTCGTCCGAAGCATTATCCAAAAAATAATAATTTAGTACTCCCTCAGCAAGCGATCTGTTTTCAGGATCGTCTAACAAATAATCACTCAATCTCCACTGTCTGTTGGGGGAGGAAGAAACCTTTTCATCTATATGCAAAGTTATGGGAGCATGGTCAGACCAATTAATATCTAAAATATCAGATCTTGAGATGTGTGATATGAGAGTGCCCTGTATCATGAACCTGTCTAGCCTGGAATACATGTTCTTGGATACGGAGTAGTATGTGAAATCTCTCTCATTCTCGTGTAATAATCTTCATGGGTAATACAATCCGCATTCAACCATATACTTCGAACATTTCACAGCTAATCTGTCACTGTTTCTCGTGCGGGTTGTGTTTAAATTTTCCCTTGTATTATCTAAGTCGCCGTCCATAACAAAATTTGTATCTCCACACATCACTAAAATCCCTTTCATGTTCTCATTCACCAGTTCCATTATTTTCCTAAAAAAAGTTAGCTGACCTGTGTTGGGGAAGTACACATTGACAATTGTATATAAAACGTTATTAACTTTACCGACCCACAGTATGTATCTCCCGTCATCATCCATCAGTATCTTATCTGTAGAGCTGGCCACCTTCCTACTAAAAAAAATAGAAGTACCTATAGACTTAGACTTGTAGGTGCAGTGAAATTGGGATGGGAATAACCGTGTCATAAATTTATACTCTTTTCCTTCCTTAAGATGAGATTCTTGAATACATACAATATCCGATTTGTTGGATTTAACTTCTTTAAACAATAATCGCCTCTTGTGAGCGGTGTTAAGGCCCCTCACATTAAATCACATGAGTTTAATGACCATGACTCAATAAGAGTGCACGGTCATTAAAAGGAGAGTATATGGAAATGTGGGAGCCAGAAGGCCCGCGTCCCAAGAGGAGAGTTATGAGATCCAACAATCGTAACAACAAATATTTTTGTTTAAACAAGAGTGAATTTGCTAAAACAATTAAGGCTGAACCTGGTAACTTCTTAGATTGTTTACGGTGTATAAAAAAGTGGATGGAATAAAAATAAAAAATAAGGGGTGGTAAACTTGGGTAAATTCCCCTATACGGGGAGAAAAAATAACCTTAAATAAAAGTAGGGCCATGAGGGAGAATAAAAAATATTTCTCCATCTCAGGGTATTAGGCCCAGGTTGGGGGGGAGGGAAGGCTGCCTGAGACTAGGGGACCGATGTATGTTTCTATCAAAACCAAAATACTACAATTATACTGAAAAATTATTGAATATATAAAAAATAGGTACAAAGAAAAAAAAAAATCAAGTCCTTCCTATCCTAGGTCTCTGCTGAAATAGATAATCATTAAGGCAGGTTAAACAAGAGGAGAGAAAAAAGAAAACAACAAAGGGAAATAATTTCCTGTAGACTGACATGGTATTGAGAAAACTCAAAAGTGAGTTGCCTACTGCTTTAACCTGACCCAGTGTTAGGATAAAAGTAATATCATTTTGCATAAACGTTAGTTGGCGCGGGGGTAGAGAAACAAAAAAAAGAGAAATTAGAAACATGAAAACAAGTGTTTAACAGCAAAGGAAGTACGTCTAGTACGTTGTGAAGAAAAAAAAGCCTGGCAGTTTGTAAGCCAAGACCTTCCATGTTCAATTGTCATTTGCCTTGCTCTTCTTATGAGCATGCTGTGGGGTTGATGGTGAAAGAGCGCGGGATTGAGTCTGCCTTCTATTAATAGTTTTGGTGAAATCCGATCCTTCTTCCGGAGTGGCAATCGTAAAATTTCGACCATCCATATTAAAGAGAACTCTTGTAGGGAATCCCCATCTATAGCGTATCCCTTTTTGTCTCAGTTCGGTTGTAAGATGTTCGAATTCCCTGCGACATCTCATTGTGTATGCTGAGAAGTCCTGAAAGATCTTAATGTTTTTGTATTCGTCAGGAAGACCTGATGTGCGGATAGTACCCAGTAGTACTACTTTTATGTGGAAAAAGTGGAGTCTTGCTATGGTGTCCTTTGGTGCTGCTGCTGGTGCCTTGTTAGATTTAGGTAGCCTATGGATGCGGTCTACTAGTAAGTCCAGATTGGTAGCCTCTGGTAGAATTGTTTTGACCATAGTTTGGAAATAGTTCAACAATTCAGACGTGTCTACAGTGTCAAGGATCACCCTGATTCTGACGTTGTTGCGCCTGCTCCTGTCCTCAGAGTCAGCTATTATCTCTGCCTGCTGGTTGACCTGCTTTTGAAGCTCCTTAACAGTTTTTTCCAATTTTAAATGAGCGGATTCTTGTGTAGATAATCTGTGTTCAACGGCCTCCGTGCGTTGACCAATGTTCTCCAGGATCCCATACATGTTATCAAAATCTTTTTTGAGATCATTTTTTAAGTCCACACGCAGGTCTTGTATTAACTGGATAATTAAACCAGCCGACGGTGGTAAATCCTCAGCCATTTCTAACGGCATGTGAGGGTTATAGGTCATAGTCTTGAAACCAGTAGAAATTGTCTTGGGAGAAATAGTGGCCATTTTAGTTGTAAAATTTGTGGTATGTGCTGTATTGGTGGCCATCTTAAGTATGGCTGGAGCTGGGGTCATGCTGTCATCCATTTTAGTGGTATCGGTGTTGGTGACCATATGATGAAAAGTTTGGGGCACATTAAAACAATCTTCCTCCATATCTTGCACATTGAGGCTCTCTGCTGTCCCTTTAAGACTGACTGTGTGAGGGGAACGAGCGGCAGAGGTCCTCCACGTCAAGTCTGACTGCCGTGAGGCAGAGGACCACGACGGGGATCGAGACCTCCCGCCGCCCGCCCCCTCATCCTCAGCCCGGTCTCCTTTATATGCTAGGGACCGGGCTGCTTTACATGTAAGCCGTGAGCGGCTGCTATCTCTGCTTGCTCCGCTTGCAGGTGCTGAATGCACACGCTCCAAGCTGATTAAATGCTCGGAGCGGTTTTCAGACCCCCCAGGAGTCACTGTGTGTGTGGCCGCGACCCCGCCGCTCTCAGATCTCTGCGAGCGGGTCCCGGCCGCACTAGCATATGAGCGGGCATGAGAGAGGGTATGGGAGGAGGGTGGCTGTTTCTCCGCTGACACTAATGAATATTTTCCTGGCGAAATAAGCCGCTGGGTTACTGAGTGGGACGGGGAACGTGGGTGGGCTGGCATGCCCTTACTCACCCCCACTGAAGTTTTATCGGTCTTTTTTGCTGCAGGAACATTTTTCTCCGTACTTCTTTGTTTCTGCATGTTGAGCAGGACTTCATAGACAAATCTATGTGCTTTAAAAAGATGATTTTCGTTTGAAAAAAATTGTAATTAAACGAAATTGTCCCTAAGTCTCAGGAGCTTCCCTAGATGGTGGCCATTAAGATGGTGGCCAAACTCCGCCACCAACATTTAATCCTTACAGCGTTCCACATAATTGGCTAGTGTACACATTAAAAGAAATTGATCTAGAAGAGGAAAATTCTTGTTCTTGGCTAAAACATTGGTTTAAAAATAGAGCACCGGGGGTCGGAGCCAGCAGCCATATTGATCAGACGCTTCCCAAGAGAGGTCCGAGCTGGAAAGGCAATTAAACCCTGAAACTCCCTGCCTAACCACAGCTGTCAGACCCAGGAGGGACGAAACCGACCCTTACCACAATGGGGGTGTAAAAGCAAAAAATACAAGGCAAACAAGCCTATCATTACCGCCGAGATTGGCAACTTACTATGGAGGCCTTCCCTCTTGTCCTTCGACAAATATCTAGTGGACATAGGAGAGCCAGAGAGACAAATGGAGAGAGAAGGAGAGCTGACATACCTCTTGTGAAAGTTGAAGAGCAACCGGTAATGCAGCCGACATCAATGGATTCAAGGAGAAGATCAACGGAGTATCTGTGCGCCTCCAAGACACAACGATTGTTACCACAGCCCATAAGACCCGGCTGACTACTCTGAAGAGTGAGCTCATGACACTGAAGAGAGACAAAACCCTAATACACCACCACATGGGGGCAATGGAAGACCAGGGGATGTTTAAGAATGTAAAGGTTCGAAGAGTTGCAGACTCGATCGCACTGGCAGAAATACCTCACCTTTTCCGGAGACTGCTGACGGAGGTATTCTCAGCTACAAAGGCTAGAAATATAATAGTGATACTAAATGACAAACTGCACAAGCAGGTGCCACAGGAATGTGCAGAGATGTGATCATTCGCTTCCAGCATGGCCCTGACAGACAAGCATTTATGGCTGCAGTTCGCAGCAAAAATCCATTCCACTTCGAGGAGCACTCCCTTGCATTCTATCCTGACCTTTCTAGAGCCACAATGGACTGGTGGAGGCTCCTGAGACCTTTAACATTAGAGCTTTCCAAACAAAAGATACAATACAAATGGGGCACCCCGAGAAGTCTCCTAATATCTGTGAATCTGGGACTTTAAAGGTCTGTGAGGCCTTGGAGATGACCACTACTCTTAAAAGCTTGGGCTATCCACCGTTGCAGAGGATCCACAACCACTGGACCGCCAACCAAATCCGAGAAATTGGAACCTCGCTAAAGTTCGCCCATTTGTCCCTGCAGCACAGAGTGGAAGCCCTGCACTGGCCTTTACACATGCTTATACCTGGTTTAGTTTGTTTTTATTAGTTTTAATTTTCTCTGACGTTTCTGCACATATGCTACTATGGACACACTTCAAGTCCAATTTAGTACCTCCTGCTGGCTATGTGGATTCACCTCCCTATACAGGGAGTGCAGAATTATTAGGCAAATGAGTATTTTGACCACATCATCCTCTTTATGCATGTTGTCTTACTCCAAGCTGTATAGGCTCGAAAGCCTACTACCAATTAAGGATATTAGGTGATGTGCATCTCTGTAATGAGAAGGGGTGTGGTCTAATGACATCAACACCCTATATCAGGTGTGCATAATTATTAGGCAACTTCCTTTCCTTTGGCAAAATGGGTCAAAAGAAGGACTTGACAGGCTCAGAAAAGTAAAAAATAGTGAGATATCTTGCAGAGGGATGCAGCACTCTTAAAATTGCAAAGCTTCTGAAGCGTGATCATCGAACAATCAAGCGTTTCATTCAAAATAGTCAACAGGGTCGCAAGAAGCGTGTGGAAAAACCAAGGCGCAAAATAACTGCCCATGAACTGAGAAAAGTCAAGCGTGCAGCTGCCACGATGCCACTTGCCACCAGTTTGGCCATATTTCAGAGCTGCAACATCACTGGAGTGCCCAAAAGCACAAGGTGTGCAATACTCAGAGACATGGCCAAGGTAAGAAAGGCTGAAAGACGACCACCACTGAACAAGACACACAAGCTGAAACGTCAAGACTGGGCCAAGAAATATCTCAAGACTGATTTTTCTAAGGTTTTATGGACTGATGAAATGAGAGTGAGTCTTGATGGTCCAGATGGATGGGTCCGTGGCTGGATTGGTAAAGGGCAGAGAGCTCCAGTCCGACTCAGACGCCAGCAAGGTGGAGGTGGAGTACTGGTTTGGGCTGGTATCATCAAAGATGAGCTTGTGGGGCCTTTTCGGGTTGAGGATGGAGTCAAGCTCAACTCCCAGTCCTACTGCCAGTTCCTGGAAGACACCTTCTTCAAGCAGTGGTACAGGAAGAAGTCTGCATCCTTCAAGAAAAACATGATTTTCATGCAGGACAATGCTCCATCACACGCGTCCAAGTACTCCACAGCGTGGCTGGCAAGAAAGGGTATAAAAGAAGAAAATCTAATGACATGGCCTCCTTGTTCACCTGATCTGAACCCCATTGAGAACCTATGGTCCATCATCAAATGTGAGATTTACAAGGAGGGAAAACAGTACACCTCTCTGAACAGTGTCTGGGAGGCTGTGGTTGCTGCTGCACGCAATGTTGATGGTGAACAGATCAAAACACTGACAGAATCCATGGATGGCAGGCTTTTGAGTGTCCTTGCAAAGAAAGGTGGCTATATTGGTCACTGATTTGTTTTTGTTTTGTTTTTGAATGTCAGAAATGTATATTTGTGAATGTTGAGATGTTATATTGGTTTCACTGGTAATAATAAATAATTGAAATGGGTATATATTTGTTTTTTGTTAAGTTGCCTAATAATTATGCACAGTAATAGTCACCTGCACACACAGATATCCCCCTAACATAGCTAAAACTAAAAACAAACTAAAAACTACTTCCAAAAATATTCAGCTTTGATATTAATGAGTTTTTTGGGTTCATTGAGAACATGGTTGTTGTTCAATAATAAAATTAATCCTCAAAAATACAACTTGCCTAATAATTCTGCACTCCCTGTAATTTCCTCACCCCCTCTCCCACCTACTACATATCTCCTCCATCTCGCCTTTGAAACAACACAGTGGGTAATAGCCTCTTGACAGTCTTAACTAGACTCACTATTCTGTACATCTCTTCTTGATAAGAGACATATGGCCTTAACTGCCCCTTTGCAGCCCACGTGTTTGTCTAAGACACATAGGGGTATTGGGCTCAGTCCACTCCTGGTCACAACAGTCTATTATTTATATATACATAAAATCCTCATTCCTCCCAACTTAACCGTTGACATGCTTAGCAGACACGATTGTCTTGTACTTTGTTATTAATCTCTTAATTGTCCTTCAAGTGTACTGCTTGTAACTTATGATTTTGGATCGAAAATAAAGAGAGAATATTAAAAAAAAAAAAAAAAAGAGTACCGAGAATTGTCATTAATGGTATATATTCAACCTGGTCAAAAGTGGAGTTCTGTTCTGGGAACACTTCTATTCAACCTGCTTATAAATCATATTGAAATAGACATTGAAAGTCATATGTCACTGTTTGCAGATGACACAAAACTAAGAAAGGAAATATAATGTGATGGAGATGTTACTTCACTGCAGGTAAATGATCTGTGTGAGTTTTATTTGAGGGTGGTTTGTGTGTTGTGTTGTGTTGTGTATGTGTGTGGTGGTAATATGTGAAATTGATGTGTTTGTGGGTGGGTGGCTGTGAGTGTTTTGTGTTTAGACTGCATGATGTGGGTGGCTGTGTGAGATGTATGAGTATGTGTCTATGAAAGGTTTATGTGTGTGAAGTCTGTGCTTGTTGTATCCATTCTCTCCCCACATTACAACACAAACATTGTTTCTTTAAACCCTTAAGGACACATGACATGTGTGACATGTCATGATTCCCTTTTATTCCAGAAGTTTGGTCCGTAAGGGGTTAAAAGGATTTGCGTTTTGTTTTTTGTTTTGTTTTTTATCCCTCTACTTACTAGTAGGCAGAGGAGGCACTTACCCATGGTGGTCCAATGAAGACTGCACTCCTGCTCTCTAATGGTCTGGTGGGTGGTGCTTGTGGTTTGCATCCCAGAGAGTGCAGATCACTTTCCTAAGGAACACAATGCATAATCCCTTGCAGCATTGAGGGTGTACAGAGGGTGATTAGGGAGATATTTTGTTCTCTGGGCCAGCACACCAGTGTCAGGGCTCCTCGTTAGAGCTGATGTTCCAAACAAAACAAACATTGGCCCTGGTGATTTTGTGAGTTAAATATTACCTAATGAAGTCAGAGTACAGAGATTGTTAAGTATCTGAGTGGCTAGAAGACTTCTGCTTGGCAAAGAAAATTGATTTGGATGATAAAATATTTTAGTACAGATGGTCTGAAAAGTAATTTATAGGGCGTTTAAGTTCAGACAAATATTGTCCATGCAAAAGATTTGGCAAAATGGTTTGGCGGAAACAAAGGGCAAGAAAAGGCCCCTGATGTGAGTTGCACAGCAAAAATGGCTTCAATTTTAACTAGCATAATGGCTATTCAATATTAGTCATCCTGTGAGGATCTATAATTACATTATTATATCAACATTTAAAAAATAAAATAGAAAGTGGGTGAGTTCTGTTTGATAATGATTATTTTTTTCTTTTGCAATATTCTATTATTTAAAAAAAGGGGGATCTATTGGAGCAGGAGTAATTTAATAAAAGTTGATTTTTCAAAAAAATTACAGGAAAAAGTGAGTGAGCAATTGATAAACTAACCCATTCCACCTTTAGAAGAACAAAGCTTTTCCGCACATCCACTCTATGGCGTCAGTGTGGACGTTCTTTAATGTGAATAAAACAGAGCGCCCTATCAATTTATGCCAACTGCATCTGTGTAGATAGCAACATAGCCACACTGCAAGACTCAGCCAGGCAGGGCAACACCACTGCAATGAAAGACATTTGGAACATTACAACCACCACCACCACATTGTACAACACTTTATGAAATATAAAAAACAGATTTCAATTTCCAGGATGCAGGCATAGGCGAGACACAGCCAGGCAGGATGAAATCACTACAATGAAAGGCATTTTTTCTCAAAGGGAGATTTAAAAAAAAAAATGAAAAAGTGGTCATCAGTTCCTTACTCATAGCGCCAACAGATAGCGCTTTACAATATTGTGAGAGGGGGGATTTAACTATAAATAGGACAATTACAAGAAAACTTACAGGAATGATAGGTTGAAGAGGACCCTGCTCAAACAAGCTTACAGTCTATAGGAGGTGGAGTATGACACACATTAGAACAGGAAATAGTAATAAAATAAGGTGGGAGTGAAGCAGAGCTGGAGGAGAGTGCAAAGTGTTGCCCTTTAGGAGAGAGCAAGAGACAGGTATGTAAGGTAGAGGTTACTCTGGGAGGCCATAAGCTTTCCTAAAGAGACAGGTTTTAAGGCACTCCTTAAATGATTGAAGACTAGGGGAGAGTCTAAAGGTGATATGCAGGCTATTCCATAGAAAGGGAGCTGCTTGCGAGAAGTCCTTCTAACGTGAGTTGGTCATACGGGTGCGAGCAGCGGACAGGATGTGGTCACGGGGAGAGCGGAGAGACCGAGAAGGGGCATACCTATAGATCTGTGAAGAGATATAAGAGAGGCTAGAATTGTTCAGTGCGTTATAGGTATGGGTTAGAACTTTGAATTGGCTCCTATAGGATACAGGAAGCTAATGTAAGGACTGACAGAGGGGTGAGGTGTGATAGGACCGACTAGAGAGGAAAATCAGTCTGGTGGCAATATGTAGCGGGAGCAATATGGCTTTTGGGAAGACCAATTAGGAGAGGGTTACAATAATCCATGCAGGAAATTACTAGAGCATGAACAAGCTCCTTGGTAGCATCTTGCGTAAGAAAGGGGCGGATGCGGGCTGTGTTTTTAAGATGGCAACATACTGGATGTGAGGCTCAAAGGTGAAGTTAGAATAAAGTATGACGCCAAGACAGTGCGCTTGCAAGAATGGACTTATGTGGTTACCACTAACTTGAAGGGAAAGCGAAAGAGGAGGATCAGTATTAGGAGCAGGAAAGACAAGGAGCTCAGTTTTATAGAGATTGAGTTTCAGAAAGCAGGAGGACATCCAGTCAGAGATGGAAGAAAGGCAAGCACTGCCACGTTGCATGACAGCACCGTCACCTTGTGGCTGCTGAAGATAGAGGTGTTGCATGTGTGGCCGTGGAAGCTGTTGCAACATTATCCTCTACATCAGGGGTAGTCAACCTTTTAATATCTACTGCCTACTTTTGTGTCTTTGTTGAAGGTTAAAATTTCCTTACCGCCCAAAAATTTTTATTTTTTTTTAGAAATTAGGGTTTTTTTTTAAATAAATATATGTACTTAAATTTATCTATTTTTTCCCCTTTTTTCTATTCTCCTTTTTTTATATGTGTGTCTGTGAGGTGCTGTGTGTGTTGAGGTGCTGTGTGTGTGTGTGTTTGTCAAGGGTGTATTGTGTGTCTGTGAGAGGGGTAGTGTGTAAAGGTGCAGTTTGTGTGTGTGAGGGATGCTGTATGTGGGTGAGGGGTGCTGTATGTGTGTGAATGGTGCAGTATGTGTGTGTGCAGGGTGCAGTGTGTTTGTGAGGGGGCAGTGCGTGTGAAGGGTGCAGTGCGTATGAGGGGGTCAGTGAGTGTAAGGTGGAGTGCGTGTGAGGGGGCAGTCTGTGTGTGTGTGTGTGAGTGAGGGGTGTAGTGTGTGTGTGAGGGGGCAGTCTGTGTGTGTGTGAGAAGGGCAGTGCATGTGTGAGAGGGACAGTATGTGTGTGTGAAAATCTATCTTAATGTCTCCACCTCCCTTCTTCTTACCTTTTACCAGGGAGGGGGGACATAATGCTGCAAGCTCTATTGTTCCAGTGGTGTCATGTTCACATTAGCAGCCAGAGGAGCTGCAGGCTGGCACTCCAGTCCTTCTGCGAGCACAGCACTGTATTGGAGTGTTGCCATGGTAACGCCTGCTCGCTTGAGGGAACCAAGAGCCTCCCGGGCCCTTCCCTCCCTCTGCTGGAATTAAGTGCAAGCAGGCCAAGATCTTTGATCTCCTCACTAGCCCAAGAGGGCTCTGCATGTGCCGGCAGGGGAGATGAAAGTATTTCCCCTGCTGGCCTTGGTCTACGGCCATCGAGGCTCACTGGGCATTTTCTGCAGATCCCACCACCGCCCACCTGAAATCCCAAACTGCCCACTAGTGGGTGGTAGGGACCAGGCCGACTATCCATGCTTTACATCAACACTTGGTTGACTAATCCTAATAGAAATTTTGATGGTAGTGTTGGTAGTGATGGTAACAATAACCGTGGATGAGCTACTTGTAGTACTGGGAGCAAATGACTGCCTCCATTGGCATTTCAAAAGAGGATATAGGTGTACTTAGACATGATGGAAAAGATGCAGGAGAAAAGTGCACAGTAACTGGAGAAAATGGTGAACTGCTGCCTGTCCTCTCTAGACTCTAATCTTGTAATTCCTCTGGCTAATAGGCAAGTTCACCCTGGGCCATGGCAGTAGAAGACCAGTAGAAAAATAAATATAAAATATCTCTATTGAATTTATGATATATAAATATAGATATCTTTTCCATCTGTCATCTCTATAGTTTTTGGTGGAATTTAGAATCATGAATCAAAACTAACATGCTCGTTCATTGTGCATTTCGTTTGGTTAACGATTCAGCTACATTTCAGCTCAGAGTTTGGGAATATCACCAATCAACTGATTGGACCAAATTTGGATAAAGTCTAGGATTTACTGTAATGTTATTTTCTTTGACTTTAATAAATACTACAGACAACACACAGTGCACTGCACAGTTGTCACACACTTGCACATCCATAATATAGTCTGTTTTAGTCCACCTGCAGTATCAGATAACCAGAAAAAATAGTAAATTTAAAAAAAAATCATTGTTTTTTTTCATGACACATAGCGAGTATCACAAAGCACCACAGCAAAATAACTAAGGTTTCTATGGGCACCCTATAAACCAAACCTCTACAACAATTGCCTCCCAATTCCTGCACCGCCTCAGTTATGGGGTTTAAATTTATAACTCTCAGGGTTGATCATTAAAATGAGAATTGTTGGGAATTAAAAGTGAAAGAAAAATAAATCACAATTTTAAAACTACTTTGTCCTTAATATTTAAATGTACTTTGAATTCCCAGCAGTTCTCACTTTAGTAACCAAGCCATTGTATGTGGATACCTGCTGTTCCTTTTATCAACCCATAGGATATAAGGACTTAAACAATAGGCTTTTGGGGTTCCTAAAATTGCCTCTTTTACATATACGGGCACATCTCACCTAATAAATAAAGTGTACATGTCCAGTTAATATGTAGACTACTACCACAAGAGGGTCCACAAACCACTTCGGTTTAATAAGTACAGTGATGGTAGAATGACCTGTCAATCTGACACTAAATCGTCTTAACTAAAAGTCTCTACTGACTCCTCATCCCTTTATAGACATTAACAAGTGTTATACCAAAGCTTTTTCTTAAAATAAATAAATATAATATTACTTACATCTGAAAGTGCCTACTTATCTTGCATGCCTGCCTTTTAACACATGATATTTCAGTTGGTCCTTACAAACCATTTTTTCTGGAATTAAACGCTCTTTGAATTTATTTGTTGCCAACAAAATCAAAGCAAATATTACTCTATAACAGTGAATGTGTAATTTCCCCATGCCCAATCTTTCATGTGTGGGTCTACATGGGACCCATTCATAAAATAGTGCATGTATTGTGACTAATAACCTTGATCAATTTGTGTGCAGTATAATTATATTTTAAACCAAATTGTACTACAAGACTTTACTATTAATTGGATGATGAAACTAATGTTAAATATGTTTTAGTTGATTTTCCTGCTAAATTTCAAGAAGTTCAATTGAAAACGTAAATTCCTAGACAATTATGGAAACTCAACCTTGTGAATCAAAAGCAGACCTGACATGCATGTATAGTTTGCCCATGTTTAAAGAAAATGTTTATTTACACATTGCAGTAAGTACAAATTGCAATACAGGTTTACCCAGACAATTGTGTTTCTATGAAATATAAGGTGCTGAAAGATCTTTATACTTTGGGTTTATTCACTAAACTGGGAATTGTGGAGAATTTACCAAAGAACTGCAGATTATAGACCAAAATATCTGAACAGAAAAATATTATAACTGTGGAATTTGTTATGGTTTACTTATTTTAATCCAAAAGGTGCAATTCACATGTCAGTTCCCCCAATTCTCAGTCCACTGAATAAGAGAGAGAGAGAGAGGGAGTGAGAGAGAGAGAGAGAGAGAGAGAGAGAGAGAGAGAGAGAGAGAGAGTGTGTGTGTGTGTGTGTGTGTGTGTGTGTGTGTGTGTGTGTGTGTGTGTGTGTGTGTTTTCTCCTAGGAAAACTTAGTTTAAAAAAAAAAAGGTTTTATTTTGAAATACAATTTTGGTGATCTATTAGAATAATTTATTTATGAACGATATCCCTTGTTTTCTATTACTTCTCAGAAGAAAATTGCAACAGATATATTTGACTCTATAAATAAAGGTGTTGTGACCAAATAACTGATTTCATTGTCTGTCTTTTTTTACTGGCTACTTGTTCAGTTATTTTTCAACCCAAAATAAACAATTACGCTTGAATTAACATAAATACTAAATAATATATTTATATGATTTATATTACCACGGGTGTCATTTTCTGTATGCATAAATTAAACTGTTTTTTTTTTCTTTTCTTTTTTTTTTTTTACAAAACCTTGATAATAGCAGCAATTACATCTATATCACTGCCTCCATAACAATATATTGATTGAACATACAATGCTTCAAATATTCCCAGCATATTATCGGTGTTAACCTTCCTGTAGTAAGTCAACTGGAAGATCAACTGGAGAGCATTAGAACTATGTACATAACTTTACAAATTTTACTTTTTCTCTTAAAAATTTCTATTTTCTCTATACATTTTATAAATGCAATGCGATTTATACTTTAAACCAAATACAGCATTTGAGGTTAGATTTGGAAAAAAAAAATCTGCAATATTTAGAATGCAAAAATATCCCAATACAACATCCACTAAAACACACCCCAATGTCTATGTTTTTCTGTTTTTGTATGTTTTTCAGTAAATTGATTTCAAGTTTTGTGTTATCTTTTTTTTTTTTCTTCTTCTTATTTGGTAACTATTGTACCATTATGCGCACTGTAAAAAAATCGAATTAACCCCTGCATGTAGTTAATTGTATATAAGAAATAAGGTAGAAAATAAGCTTTAAGCGTCCACTGTTCTGATACTGCCTCTGATTTCATGGGCAATATTGGAGAAATATTAAGTACCGTTCAACTCAAGTAGCTGTAATCTTTGCTTGAGGTCGATTTCTTTTCCATTTACTTATGCTGCTCTCTATATATTCAGAAGCATTGTAGGCTATTGTTCCTGAATGCATTGTTATAAGAACAGGTCCATGCACTTCTGCCTCAAATCTAAAAAAAAAAAAAAAAAAAAGTGTTCCTCAACAGCTCCAAAGGAGATCAAACTAAAGAGGTAACAGGTGGAATTTTGGAATTCTCTTCCTCCCAAGGCTGAAGATTCTGAAGTGCAAATAGAGAAGAATTGTGTAAACATAAAGGGTCTGGCTGGATTGAATCACTCAGTGATTTCTGGAAGGCGTCATGTTGCAATTGAAGCATTAATCTGTTGGCCTGTTGCCTTTCTGCTTCTCTTTCTTCGGCTGTCTGTCTCCTAAAATAAAAACAAATTAAATTTGAGATCAACAGGAAAATAAAATGTAACCAGCATATGAATAGGCAATCAAAACGTCCCAAACTATTTATCAAATACTTGGAGCCAGTGAAAGGTGTGCCTCACATCAGGGCATAATTCATGCACTCTGATAGCTGGAGGAGATTTTATTAAGGTACTCAGTGTTACAGAAACATCTATTGGAAAAGTACATTTAAATACGATCGTACAAGCTATATATAGGATGACATTAAATATATTTTATATACAGTATATCTCAATGCGGATAAACGTTTCATTGAAAAGATCTGCATGGCATTTAAGTATATTCTACGCGTATACAATTAGACAAGGAAAATAGATTTAACAAATTGGCGTTTAATAGCAGATTGAGCCATTAAAACAAACATCAGTTCTAGATTTTAAACAGAAAAAGTAAATAATAGGTTAGAAAATAAAAAATACTTAGGGCACTCACTTAAACTCACATAACTCACATAAATCACACATCATATTTCTAAAGCGTATTCTTTACCAAAAGCAATTATCTTGATCCTAGTTTTCTGATTTCCTGATCCCTAATTTCTCATTTTAGTTGTGTCACTGTGTGAATACTTTATTAAATTATTTGCCACTAATTTGCTTCTTTTTTTTTTAATTGCAATAAATGATATTATTATTATTATTATTATTATTGTTACAGGTATTATTACTTTACTGCTGTAATTACAGTAAATAATGGCTTGTATTCTACAGAGTATCTGAAATCGGTCATCTGTTTCCATATATAGTAGCAGAAAATGAAAAATGTGTTTTTTGATTTTTTATTTCAGCCCGTCAGTCGCTCATTGTTATTTGACAGGAAAATAATATGGGGTCTGATAACTAAATACTGAGTACACAATAAGCCGAGACAGTAAACCAGAAAAAAACAAAAAACTTGCTAGTGTATAGATAGAACCTGTATTCTAATGAGCAGACCCCATACTTTGCAAAAACACCACTACTGGATCATATAGCAATTCACTAATATAGTTTGTTTCAAAGCGATATATAAAAAAATATAATAATATAGAAGAAATGCTGAAAACTCCTGGTTTTGTTTCATTTGTTTTTGTATAAGATATGCGCAAGCTTTCAAAAAAACCGTTTAGGGAAATATAGGTTGCTTCGTAAGAAAGCTAATTCAAATAGCACCGATGTAATAAAAGGGGTTAAATCGGAAATAGAAATAAATTAAATATGCATGAACTACGACGAACCCCATTTCACAATGATTCATTAAGAAATCTTATCACAAAAGCAAGGGTGTCAATTATCTCTTTTGTTTACATGGATTAACCCCAAAGCCTTCACTTATTGGATAAAACTGGCATCCTAATGAGGTCTTTTGGAAATGTTTATTTGGTGCATTTATCATTTACCTCATCTGTCAGAGACTAGAAGTTCTCGTTTTTATTCCTTTTCAATTGGGACACAAATAAACCCATTATATATCTATGGAGCCCACTATTGCAGTGATTTTTCTTATAAAATAAAAAAACTCAGTCTGAAATTTAAACTGCTACATTTGCTCTATCTATATATCTATCTATCTATCTATCATCTGTCTGTCTATCTATCTATCTTCTGTCTGTCTATCTATCTATCTATCTATCTATCTATCTTCTGTCTATCTATCTATCTATCTATCTATCTATCTATCTATCTTCTGTCTATCTATCTATCTATCTATCTATCATCTGTCTATCTATCTATCTATCTATCTATCTATCATATGTCTATCTATCTATCTATCTATCTATCTATCATCTGTCTATCTATCTATCTATCTATCTATCTATCTATCTATCTATCATATGTCTATCTATCTATCTATCTATCTGTCTGTCTATCTATCTATCTATCTATCATATGTCTATCTATCTATCTATCTATCTATCTATCTATTTAATTGTATTTACCAGATACATTACTAACCAAACATATAACTTGTTTGCCTTGTTTAATATTGCATGTTATTAATTTCAACACATAATAACTGTAATTATCTTCATAATATGATATTTCTTTGGGGGAATCACCTGCTGATGATGGTTAATATGCATCTGTGAACTCGTCAAGTTAGCATTATCGAATGGACAATGTTCCATAGTGGTGCATTCACTAAGCAGTGAACGTTAGTGAATTGACATCCGAATTGACCCTAGAATTTTTTAACCGAGCTGCAAATTGTAAATCAGAAAATTCGACTTGGGGGAAAAACATCCAAATAAATTGTATTGGATTTATGTTTTAACTCAGCTATTCGGGCCTCATTCTTTCAAGACGCCTGTTAATTCGGCAGATCGCATAATGTATAAATATAAAAAAAAAAAAAGATTAATTAAATCAATATGAAAAAATATCTGCAAATTTCGCCTTAAATTTTTTACAAAACTGAGCTGAGAACGGTAGAGGATTTACAGCTGGGTGTAGTATATGTGTGCGTATATGTATCATGCTGGGTAGGCAGTAATTTACTTGCTAGCTTGACAGTTTGATATCTTTCTTATTTTATGTTTTAGTTAGTGTTACTTGAAAGTGAAAACCCCAATACTTTATTTTTCACTTAGTTACACGTAACATCCTTGATTTACTGTGAGTGAGTTTGGCACAGGAACATTATTTAACTCCTAAAATACATCATTACAAATATAACAGTTTAACCGAATTTGATTACAAGTCACTAATAGAATGTGCAGCCAAACTTCCTGCTATTTAAATCTAAACTCTATTAAATAAATGGCAAACAAATATGAGCACCTATCTGCTTGTCTAATAAATTAGTGATCTTTATTTAAATTAAGTAAAGAAGATTCAGTTTCCCTAATTTCTCTACTAAATGATCACATAATTTCTTTATTAGATGTATAATCACATAATCTCGCGTGTAGATATATAAATATATATGTGTGTAAAAAATATATACACACACACACACACATATGGACACACATCCATATACACAAACACATATATATGGAGCGTAAGAAAGGAAGAATCTATATTATTTATAGATAGATAGATAGATTATATAGCAAAACGAACTATTCCTCCTCGTAAAAAAAAAAAAAGTTAATTTAATAGTAACGCTTTAACAAGGTAATTCACGTTTTAGACATGTACACACACGGAATTATTCATTAAAATGGCATTTCAAAGTGAGTTTCAGTTTCAGAGTAGCAAGCTAAAAGCTTATTTTACCAAACTGGCCCTAAATTTGAAATTCACTTTGAATTCCCACTTTGATGAATAACTCTGTTAGCGAGAGAGGGAGAGAGAGAGAGAGAGAGAGAGAATGTATCCTCATCCACTGAAGAAAATACAGTATGGAAAAATAAAATTTGATATCGGTCTATTTTAAGCGTGTTATTTCATACATCAGGGAAAGCCAATGTTAACAACACTTACAAGACTTAACTCGAAATTATTCCAAAAATAAATTAAATTCCAGTTATTGCCAGAGGGGCCCACGATGCAATATGTGCCTTTCATGTCCTAGTATGTCCTTTTACAGTTAGGGTTAATATGATCATAGCTAGTGTCCAGACACCCCCACTCCCTCTGTCACCTCACTCAGTAGGTTTCGCTCACCTCCATTTTGTCCTTCTGTTTTGAAACCACGTTTTGACCTGAGCATCGGTCATCTTCAGTGACTTGGCCAGGGCCGCTCTCTCCGCAGAGGCCAGGTACTTCTGGCGGTGGAAACGTTTCTCCAGCTCGCAGATCTGGACCCTGGAGAAGGATGTGCGCGGTTTCTTGCGCTTAGGGGGAGTCCGGTTCTGATAGGGGTGCCCGATCCTGCGGGTCACAGTGAAAGGAGTGAGGGCTGCGGCAGCTATAGCAGAAATCAAACGGTAAATGAAGGGTTAATACTGCATAATGGGCACAGGCCATTGGATGAAACAAAAATCATTATGTAAAGACGCAAATCACCCAATTAAATGGAAAAAAAAATATTTAGTAATAGTAAAAAAAAAAAAAACCTAAATAGGATACATGATGAGTGTCCGTGTTTAGAGTGACTTTAAGATTTAAGAAGGAAATACATTGTGTAGGTTTGTCCCAATGTTTAGTAGAGGGAGAGGCTGACTAATGACAGGAAATAGAAGGAAGATAACTCATGAAAGATGATCCATCAGGAGAAGGAAAGACATTTAGATGGGAGGACCTTTTCCTCTTTCAAGTCATAATTATAACAATTGTGCTTGGGCAGTATACTAGATTATTACATTACTAATTATATTTAACTGATCTAATTCTATATGTATGTCTAAATGTATGTAGCTCAATGATTTCCATGATTTCTGAACATCGTTAAACTATTTTGATGAATCATAAAATGTATACGTTTTATTACATCTAAGTGCAAATATGTATCAAGTACATACAGATGTGTACC